GGCGACAAAGCGAAAAGACGAAATGTCATATATCAGCCACCATACAAAACAGTTACCGCGTAAAGAAAATGCGCGTACGGTTCGTTTCAGCAGCCAGGTTTTTGCATTGCGATTAAACTCGCATGTCGGTCCACAGGCGGTCCATGTCGCTACCGTTTTTTACTCGCCGGTGATTAATACAACGATGCAACGCTGATATGAGTGATATTTCCAAGCGCTTCATGCACGTGGTGGTCGGGATAAGTAATCGGCCGTCTGCTAGGCCGGTACCGTCAAACGAACAAGTACAAATTAGTTGTATAAAAAACCGGGCAGTGAAACACCAGGACACAATCAAAATCGAGTAGATTCAGAGAAATATATTCTCTGGTGTCAGCATATCCGAATAGGTAGGTTCTATGATATTGATCGTCCTTGTTTTTTGTTCCTCCCTCTCCCGCTTTTTGGAGGATTATTTTTGTCTTTTGCAGAATCGTGTTAACATCCTTCTTCTAGACTCAACTCTTTAATTATTTACCATTTCACTTGATGCTTTAGCATTTATTCATTTAGCGGGTATGTAAACTTCGGTACACGGGTGATAGAATGCAGCCTGATTCAGAATAACAAAAATGGAAAAGTAATGACTACATGTATATTGGAAACTATATTGCCATTCCAGGTGGTGCCCATACATCATTAGCAAAACTAATGAATAAAGATATCCTTTCAATTTAAGACGTTTCTCTTACACGAATGTCGTATGAAGTGAAGTACTTTTTTCAGGCTAAGGAGTTGGTATATCAAATACTTTTACGAACATTAACAATAGAAAAACATCAAAAACGTATTGTACAGAAAAAATCAAAATAAGATGACACTTAAACCCGAATATACAGTACGGAAAATACTCGTGTTTTTTGCTTGAAATAATATACATTTGTGCTGTCTACTTTCAGAATCGCTCACCACCATACTAGATCTAGGATCCGGAGGAGGGAATGTATCGAGGGCATTAAGCAGGCGATTCCCTGAGGTAAATACATACGGTATTGACTACAATGAGATGGCAATAGCAAACGCCATTTCGACATCTAAAACCCAAGGCATCAAAAACGTGAAGTTTCTAACGCCAAACGCTACATCGCTGCCCGTTGAATGGACACATACGTTTGACTGGGTGATTATGTATGACGTTCTTCACGATCTGCCTGATCCCGCCAGTATTATGAAAGAGGTTTATCGTGTCTTGAAGGACGACGGTGTTGCTTCTATTAATGATCCCGGCTTACACAGTAACCATAGAGACAACGTGGGAGATACGAACGTGGCAGGACCAGGGTACGCCATCAGCTCCGTGATTTTCCTCCCTTATAGTTTGTGAGTAGATGTTCCTCCTGGTCACGGCATTGGATGGGGATCTGAAAACAAGGATACCCTTTTGACTAGTTCAGGCTTCCGTGTGAAAGACAAACGAAATATTGGAAGTCATATGTCATTGAACTTCACATGCGTCAAGGCACGAAAGAAGAACTACATAATCTGATATAAATTGCCGTTTGCACGCCCGTTATCTCAACAAAAACACAAAAGTTTAGTTTGATTTTTTTATGTACAATCACTTTCAATTTAATAACCATTTTTTCTGTATATCTAATTTCTGTTTTGTGTATGATTGATTTTATTTTTTTAGTTAAACACAGATATGGTAGTTTGTTAAAATTATGTTGTAATATCGGTTATGGACAATTTTAAATAAAAGGGTTACACAGACAGATCGATCGATCAATCACCCTTCATCAGACAACATCATGGATCAGCAATTATCATCATTCTTAATGTATCATCATATTACACAATTACAAAACATAAGATCATCATCATCATCATCAATTTCATTATCCTAACATGATAGCACATCATTATCATCAGTTATCGCTCTTCATTTATTATCATCATCATATCATTACACATCATCATCATCATCATCATCATCATCATCATTACACATCATCATCATCATCATCATCATCCAATCAATCGATCAATCATTCCTCATCAGTCAACATCATGTAGCCCTAATTATCATCAATCATTAATTCATCATCATTATCATTATCCTCATATGATTACACATCATTATCACGATTACTTATCCTCATAATTGATCACTCAATAAGTCATTCTTCATCAGCCGTTCATTCAGGTATGATGAATTGATTTCATATAAAATATAAATACATGCATTTTTTTTCAGTTGCATCAGAACATTTGACACTTGTGTAGTTTTACATTAACACATTACCTTTCTACCCCACACCCACCCACATACACAATCTTACATACACAAACACAAACAAGCAAGGATTCGAAGAAATGCAAAAAATTAAAAGCTACTAAAAACAGAGAGAGAGAGAGAGAGAGAGAGAGAGAGAGAGAGAGAGATTGTAAAATTACGTACATCTCTACTTTATCGCTTTACACTAGTGACTTTATCATCACGTTTACAATGATTGACAACATTGAATAGGTGTTGGCGATTGTCTTCGACTTTAATTGAATTTTAACAATGCATTCTGTCCTAAATGGAACGCTATTTGTATTCCATAGGTCTTTAACTGTGTGCCTTCGTCACGCCGTAACAGGAAACGAAACGTAAAATGACTTTTTTAAGAACAGATGAAGTCAATTGTGTCATATGTTTACATTCCTAAAATAATATCCAGAAATCCTGGGGCTGTAGGAAAGAGCCACAGTGACTTTGTTTGCGTTAAAAATCTTATTCATTTTACAACGATTATGAAACAAGTTATCTCAAATTATATTAATCACTCTTGTTGGCCTGCATCTAAGACGCGTAGTGGTTTTCATGCGGGTGGAAACCGCAGTACCAGGAGAAAACCCGCGTTTATTTGCGTTTCGGATTATGAGAAAGAAAAAAAAGGTCTATGTCCATTTTCTCAATCCAATGCTCAAGGTTACAGTTATTTTTGAAAAATAACTCCCTCGAATGGATCTATATGGATTTAAATCTTCTCTCTGTAATACAACAAGGTAAGTCTCCTCAATAGATAGAAACAAAAGGTTCAATACATCAAATTTATAAAGCGCTGTCAAAATTTTTAAGGACTCGCTTTCGACGAATTTTATTTATTTTTACAATGTTCTTTTAATTATTACAATTATATTTGATAAACGGACGAATGTTCCAACTATGAAATGTGTATGTTCCCTTAGTTCGTGAAAATATAATTAGCGCAAACATTTTGAGCAAAAAAATGATGACGTAAAGTTACTCTTTCACCGCCTCAACTGCCATCACTTGTGTTCTATATTTTACAATCGTCACGTGACCTTTTTGGAAGCCAATCCACAGATTGCCCTCCGTATCCAAGGCAACGGACATCGGTTGTTCGCCGTCCGTCGGATCTCTATATAGAGTTTTTACGTATCGACAGTTTTTGTCCAATAGCTGAACGCTATTTGAGACTGTTTCTACGGTAACTACATTATCTCCTGAATCAAAAATCATGTCGTCAAATATCACGTGACTTTGAGGTTTAAGTTCACTAGGTATGGAGTAGCGCTCGTTAGACCGAAACAGGAAGTTGAAATTTTTGTCTAGAAATATCACGTGATCATCACCAGGTTTGTCATTCACAAAGTTGCACACGGCAATGTTAGAATTGTTTTTACTCACGCGGACGCGTCCTGGCTTACAAAACAAGCGTTTTTCATCAGGCCCAAATTCAAGCGTTTTCAAGACGGTGCCGTCACGACTGTACATGCGTAGTTGTCTTTGGCTTTGTGGCTCAATTTTGTAGTCCCAATCATCCGCCAAAGTGATCAATACATTGTCGTCAGCGGTTGGCTGAATTGCAACTGGGTGTAAAGGTTCGGTTTTGAATTGTAAGGTCATGACCCCGTTGGCCTGGATACTGTAAACACAACAGTCGTCCATGTGAGTTAACAGAACCTCACCAGATGAAAGCGTACAGAAGTCCCCGATTTTACCTCGAAGCTGAATCGACCTCTGTTTGTCACCATCTTTGTTGACGAGAATAAGTTTGTTTCCGTCACAGAACATCCAAGCGTTTTCCCCAGAAACGCAAGAAATTGTATCAATAAATTCATCGCAAACGTTGAATGTATGAAGCTGTTTGGGTTTTTCTAATAACTTGTAAACACTGCGCAAATATTTTGTGACTTCCTCGGGATGACTAAGGGGGCGATCACCCTCAATATTCCCCGGCATAAGTGTTCCTCTTTCCTTGGTTGTCTCCCCTTTGCCGCCATCTTGTGTCGAGTCACCCGATAATTTATTTATTTCTGCATCAGTCTTGTCATAGGAATTGTTCTCCCCAGCATCAGTTGCGCCATTTTTGTCACCGTTGTTGCCATTATTTGAATTAGAACTTCCGCCATCGATCTCACTTCCGGTAGCGACACCGTTTCCGCTCTCCTTATTATTTCCTGATGATCCCGCTTCTCCAGCTCCTGGCTCTTCATCCTGTTTACCGTCCGGAACAAAAACGACACCGGATGTATCGTTATTTCCAGTCTGCGCGTTTATATCGTTCGACTTTGCATCTTCATTATTTTTAACGTCACTTCCGGCTTCCATCTCTTCATGTTTCTGTGGGAAAACTGCTTTCCCTGTCGATACGAGAAACGTTTTATAATCGGGCGTCTTTATCTGTTTTGTACCTGTTTCATCGCTGATATTTAGCTCGTTCAGCTTTTTGTCGTTGCTCGGCGATGACAAATCATCGTCCTTAGTTGTTTTGCGTGATGATTTTCCAACTCGTTTTTTCACTTCCGTTGAATCCTCGCCGTCATCGCGCCTGGGAAGACCCTGCAAACTTGTCGGTCTCGTGGTCTTTTTGGCTTGTGACGGTGTCGAGGAAGGTGGGGCCATGTGGTACGTCCCGGTCCCCTTGTTCGTCATAAATGCTGTGTTTTTACTTGTCACGGTGACAGCAAAGTTTTGTTGTGACGTAATAGCGGTTTGCCGTGACGATACCTGCCTATTTTGAACGGAAGTGCTATCCCTACTCGTCCTCGCAGACTCCCAGCGTGTCCTCCTATCCTCCTTCACGATGACAGAGTTAGTCATCTTTTTAGCTGTCAACTTCCGTTTTGCTGCAGCGGCAGCGATTTTCTCCTCTTTTTCTTCCTTTTGACGTTGAAGAAGTGCGTCATGCTCTTTCTTCGCCTGCTCAAACTCGTCCATTTTCGCGCCAACAATTTGAATATTGTCCAGAAAAGACATTTTGACTCGATTACTCGATTAAGCTTTTAAACAAACCACTGTACTGTCATGCGCAGAAGAAAGAGGAAGTTTTCCTTACTGAAATAGATGGATCCGAGTTTGTTTGAAGGAGAGCTTCAGAACACGGATGGTTGTGAGACCACAGCTGCATTCCATATGTCGCTGTCAACTACAGTGCACTGTACACGTTTAGCAGAGCAACAGACAGGACACAATCTCTCGGACTCCATAATGATAACAGTTTCCCAGAAACGTTTGCTGTTCCACCTGAAAATGGATAAAATATATACTTGGTTACAGGATTGGAAATAGTGACTATAGCGGCTATTCGTACTATCACGATAGTATTGCAATAGTTTTTGACGCCATGATTCTTATTACGGGGGGTTTATAATTGCGCATGTATGCGAAGTGATTGCGCGTGAATTGGCTAGGCTTTACGGTATTCTAATTTCTCTTGCGGGAAGCACATTTTTTTTTGTATTTCTGTTTTAGAGTGGGCTAGCAGGGTTGTGATAGATTAATGCTGGATAACGCACATGGGAGGATCAAAACTGACTAAATAGCAATCAAATGTAATTAAATATAATTGATAGAGATCAAAAGAACATGTATGGGGATAGGAAACGGTTCAAAATACGTAAAACGCTCATTTGGGTAGTACAATGTATATACAAGTTAATACAAAGGCACAAAACAATTTGTAGATACATATTTTAGTCCTTATTTTGTGAAAAGTATCTATCAGTCAATCAAACACCATTATATTTATTTTTCTTTAGGTATTAAACCACAGGGTATTTTCGCTCCCATTTCTCATAAAGTTTTTTTTGAAGAATACATTTAGCAAGATACGCATGACAACTAAATGATTGACAGCATGGCAATTAAATGATTGACAGCATGGCAATTAAATGATTGACAGCAATTCATGGGAGGTCTTGATCAATAAATAGATTGGATTTGAAACAGGATGTATTTGTGCTATTTTTAGAGCGTCGGAGAAGGAAAAAAGGATGTAATATTTTAAGCTATAGAGTCCACATTTCTACTCTATACGGACATAAAATGTAATGTTCCTGTCAAAAGTATGACAGTTCTTCTATGCTCATACAACCATCTCAAGTTTAACAGTAAGTGTGATAGTTATACGAGTCCCCAACACGACCCCCACCAGTCGTTAATAGTTCTAACGGAAGTGTCAATGCTGTTCATAATGGCATAATACACCTACATATCAAATTTGATCAAAATCTGTCAACATCTAAATTTCGACCAATCAAATGTCGCGGTGGCCATCTTGGATTAGCAACTGCACCCGCCCAAGATACTCATGCGAAGTTCCAGTGGAATCCGATTTTAAGTGAGAAAACGGAAGAAGAAGAAGAAGAAGAAGAAGAAGAAGAAGAAGAAGAAGAAGAAGAAGAAGAAGAAGAAGAAAAGAGTCAAAATTCGTTTTAATGAAAAAAAGAAAATAAATGGTACGCGTAACTCAATTTTAGAGCACTTTACAAATTGATTAGTCATAAATACAGAGGAAATCTCCCGACAATGTTTTCTAATATACATGTATATATAAGTCAATAAAAAATATCATTACGAATAATAGTAGCAGTAGTAATAAATAAACGTGAAACAACAGTTTTAACGTGTAGAAGGTACATTCACGGGTACCCATATAAACTTACCTATAGGTGGAATCAAAGGAGAAAAAATGAACATTTCATACAATACAGCTGTTTTCATATAACAATGCATGCATGATATACTTTTTTTAATGAAACGGTTTTATGTTTTAAATCCAAATATCAAATACCAGACATTAACGGGAATGTCAGTCTTAGGTGGTGGCTATTCCGGTGTAATAGACCCAACCCCCACCCCCATCCCCCATCCTTCGCCATCACGATCCCCTCCCCTTCTCTGCCTCCCCTACCTCGGGGTCGGGACTAGCCCCCACGTCCTGACGCAACCACGACCCGCTTCCCTTCTCTGCCTCCCCTACCTCGGGGTTCGGACAGCCTCTCATGACTCCACAACTCCACAACTCCCCTTCTCTACCTCCCCTTCCTCGGGGTCTGGACAGCCCCTTTGACTCCACGCCCCGAGCATCCACACCCCCGTGTCCACGCGCCCATGCGCCTCTTCTCTTCCTCCCCTTCCTCTGGGTTTGGACAGTCCCTGTGCCCCAACGCCTCCACGCCTTTATGTTCCCTTTCCCTTCTCTACCTCCCCTTACTCGGGGTCTGGGTTATGCCCCCACGCCCCCACGCCCAAACGACTCGACACCCAAAAGACCCCCACCCCTTCTTTATCCCCACCCCTTCTGTATCCCCTCCCCTTCTTTATCCCCACCCCTTCTTTATCCCTTCCCCTTCTTTATCCCCAACCCTTCTTTATCCCCACCCCTTCTTTATTCCCTCCCCTTCTTTATCCCCACCCCTTCTTTATCCCTTCCCCTTCTTTATCCCCAACCCTTCTTTATCCCCACCCCCTCTTTTTCCCCTCCCCTTCTTTATCCCCACCCCCTCTTTATCCCCACCCCTTCTTTTTCCCCTCCCCTTCTTTATCCCCACCCCTTCTTTTTCCCCTCCCCTTCTTTATCCCCACCCCTTCTTTATCCCCACCCCTTCCTCTGGGTTGGGACTGTTGAAGAGTTTTACAAGCAGCAGTTTATACACAATGTATATATTCCATAGCTTTAAAAGTTCTAAAAACCAGATAGCTATTATGACGATTACAAAATTATTTACAAGTCGTAATGGTCAGCTTTGCCCCTTAGCTGGAATTTGTCCTTGATGTCGCGTAATCGCCTTAAAGTGCCTTACTCAGACACACCTGCATTTTACCTGTATTTATATATACTTATTACAGGTACAAATCTACATAAATACTAACCTGTCGGACTTACCTGACGATAAGTAAATATTGTACTTCAAATCCAAATCTAAAACAACAAACACACGTACAGTAATACTTACCTTTACTGGAACACCAAGGTCCGCAAACGCCAACATGGCCGTCGCCTCTTAAATATTGTTTACGACCGGTAAATCAAAACCCGTACGAAACATTTTTAAATAAAAAGATCCAACCTACCTGGTACGTAGGTATAGCGAGGTATCAAAGTGTGTCAATTACAGTCTGGGCTATAATTATCGACTTCAGATCGCCTCTCCGGAGGCTCGGCGGGTTTAAATGTCAAACGGGGTATCGATGAGAGAGATCTGTTATAAACAAGGGAAATAATCATTTTTTTTTTATTAATAATGACGTATAGTAGTGTTTCGTTAATCCGGGGTTTTGGTTCCAAGGCGAAACTAATCAAGAAAATTAATTTTCCGGATAAACGAAACTGAAATTAAATCTTGCCTAAATTAGTTAACACAGCCCGGTATCGCGAATTCCAATTAACGACTTTCTGTTGTCCGGTTTAAGTATTTTTTTCTTTTGTCTTTTGGGTAATATTTCTCAAAACCAATGCTGTGAACGTATTTTGTTAAAAATAATACAAAATATTTTGACGTCATGGACATTTGCCCTTTTTCAGCAACTTTAGTTTCAAAAATGTACAGCTGTTGAAAGCTGTCTTCGCAAGAATCTATTAATTAATGTGTCATTTCAAAATTGTATTACATATATCAAATTTAAATCTTTGATATGTTTAGGTAAATTACTTTGATTCAAATCCTTTATCGAGAAAAATAACGAAAGAAGATTGTTTTCTTTTCTGATATACTACATATGTACAGTAACTCCTTATTGACTTGAAAACCCGGATTATAATTAATAAATTTAAACTATTAGCGCCAACGATCGCTACGAATTATAAAACAGTTTAGATTTATTAAAATACTTGTTCAGCAAATCTGTCAATAGGACTTTAAAACGACCACGGTACGAACGTGGACCTCCCCCCGACAGACCCCCGACCACGGTCTGTAAAGGTATTGGTGGGGTTTAATGAACCCTGAGGCAATATATATACATGTTTTGTGTAAATATCTGCCGCGCTGTCGGTATGTACCCGCTAACATATAATATATATACGTGTGTATTTGTACAGCTTATATATCTTCATCGTATCAGTCTGTCTCGATAGGGCTGTGTGCCAGGTGTTTACTCGGAACACCTCGCAAGGACAAACGAGGCGTTCCGATCACTAATTGTCACACAATACCAGATCAGTATCGATATAGCGTAACAATTCTACCTAGTCCCCTAACCCCGGATCCACCACTATTTGACGACAACAGCAAAATATTAATATCATGCCCCTCGTTTGTCACTATTTATAGTCAAATTCCTACATGTATCGTTTATATACGGTAAAACCTCGACATAATGTCCTTCGTTTATATACAGTAAAACCTCGATATAATTTCCCTCGTTTATATACAGTACAAATTCCATATAATGTCCCTCGTTTATATACAGTAAAACCTTGATATAATGTCCCTCGTTTATATACAGTAAAACCTCCATATAATGTCCCTCGTTTATATACAGTAAAACCTCCATATAATGTCCCTCGTTTATATACGGTAAAACCTCGATATATCGTCCCTAGTTTATATACAGTAAAACCTCGATATATCGTCCCTCGTTTATATACAGTAAAACCTCCATATAATGTCCCTCGTTTATATACAGTAAAACCTCGATATATCGTCCCTCGTTTTTATACAGTAAAACCTCCATATAATGTCCCTCGTTTATATACGGTAAAACCTCGATATAACGTCCCTCGTTTATATACAGTAAAACCTCGATATAACGTCCCTCGTTTATATACGGTAAAACCTCCATATAATGTCCCTCGTTTATATACAGTAAAACCTCGCTATAATGCCCTTCGATTTTAACAGTAAAACATCGATATCATGCCCTTCGTTTATAACTATTATAAGCTTCATATAACACAAACTGTTATTCACTGTAGAGTAATATATCAATACAACGCCTTCGTTTATTATCTAACAGTAAATCATGTCTACTGGTTAGTACAACACAACCAATGACATGTTTATGGGTGACGTTTCGATGACAAGTACGATATGTACTCTGTGACCTTCATCAGAGAAGTGACCGGGTAAGCGTATATATTCTAAGAATTTAAATATGTACGGGTTGGCACGATAAAATCAACATGGATTCGGCAACACTATATTGCGTTAGGGTTAGGGTCCCCTAACCTAACCCTAACGACTATAAATCCGTCTGTACACCTATAGTTGTTATATTCGGTTACGATTTGTTAAATGCCCTGTCGTAGATGTGAGAGAGTTATTTTAACGCATTGGTTATCAAAGTTGCATTCATTGAAATAAATAACGTTACATAGTATCATAAATAAGAAATTTAAAACTGAAGCACAGTTCTAGAGGCACATGTGCATTATTGTGATAAACATGGTTTTTGATTAGTAAGGAAGAAAAGAGAGAAAGGAAAAAGACGCAAAAAGAAAAGGAAAAAAAGACAGGAAGAATAGAGGAGAAAAAAACCAAACAAACGTACACGTACACAAACTAGCACACAAAGGAAAAAACCCACAAGGAAAAGAGAGAAAGAAAGATGATGTATCGTGTACTAAAAATGAATATTACATTTGATCCTGTGAATATCAACAGAGTGATGCGGGGGTTATCTCCCTTGAAACATCATTCTATATGCCTGTTATTCGACTAGAAAAATCATATTTTCTTTTACTACTTTAGACGTTAGATAAGGTAACGTAATACTTTTCTGCTTGTCAGTAAAGTATAATGACGATGTGGATTCATAAGAAAATGATATTTAAGCATTCAGTTGGCATTCATAGACAATATGAATGCCAACTGGACAAAGGCAAATTCAATTAAGCTCGCTAGCTAGTTGGCATTCATAGCCTATATAAATGTCAACTGAAGTTGGTAGGGTTTTATAGTAGTGATGCTTTACGATGGTAAATAAAGCATTTTATCTTTAGTATCTAGCAGTAATTCGCGTCTCTTCATTCTATAAATATCATTTAGATTTACGGATAATGCCTCCAAGTGCTAGAACAAACATTTCCATTTTTTAATTTTTTGTTTGTTGTCTTTTATGGACATTTTGTCTGATGAAGGTGACAGAGTACATATCGTACAGTCATCATAACGTCACGCATACACCCTTCACTGGCTGTGCTATATAAAACTGTATACAATTTTATTGACATGTCTTGTTTGTAAATATAATTAAATGGTGTATGTTTGTTTATCCTGTGTTAGCCCAATGTCTCAAGTCTTCATCAAACACCATTTTAAAGCAGCGTTTACCTTTCTTAATCATAAACAATGTAAACGGTGGCTATTTTTATCATTTCTAGCCGAGAAGCTCGTCAGTCTGAAAATATTTGTTTTCTAACAAATTTAGCTCTAGTCTTTAGGATCCCTGAGTGCACTGTAGTTTTTCGTATACAGTAACCTAACCTTGAATTCGTCATGGATAAAGGAGTAAGACCATAATTGATTTTTACTATTTTTTTCACTGTAACGTTTAATTTCAATAAAACAAACCAAGTATTTGATAGCCATCTGTCCACCTAACCTGGTCAAGGGCAACATTGTGAAAAATATATAAATATTTCAACATAGCAGGTTGTCTTTTTTCTTGAGATAATCGTCTACATGTGTCACCAATGTCAAAAATATACTTCCGGTTCAGAGGAGAGGTAAACACGGGACTCTTCAAACGACATGCTGCACCAAAAATAAATACACAATACATGAACAATTGACACAGAAATTGTGAGATTGTTATCTCAACAATCTCTCAACGCCAAGCCTGTATACAATTACAAAGTTCTAAGTACCAATATTTCAAAGGGACATCAATAAATGGCCCAACAAAGTTAACCGTACAAGTGAAACAGACGTAAAGAGTCAAAGCCCATACATTCTGTCTTGCTGAAAGTTAATCCATACTCTTAACGTCTATAAGCTGTGTCTCCGCCTCCCTGTCAAAACTACCCTTTTAATACCATATCTTTTGTGTTTGAAAATAAGATCTCGCAGATCTTGGCCGATTTTTTATTACTTTAGAAATATTAATAAACACCTACCATCAATAGACGAATTGTCAGTATGACCACGTGGGGATTATCAAGCTGTTGACCACTGCAACGGGGATACTATTTTCTTTAAGAAGATGAGGTGGCGCAGTGGTAGAAGCTGCGGATATTCTAGACTGGGTGATTTGGGTGTCGTGTGGGTGGTGAGTTCGAGACCAAGACAGGACAGGGCACATGTCATAAACCTGTCTTCCTTGTTTTATGTTTCTATGTCATTTGTTCAATCGATAAACACAATGTATCATATACAATAGTGTATTTAAATCTGACGGTTTGAAATATGAACTATCTCCCGTAAATGTTCACTGTCTCATGTATAGTCAAACGTAAAATGTAAACACAAACCAAAGTGTCCAGACAAGCCTGGTCTCCACAGTACACGCAAACAAAAGTGTCTGGTCTAACAAGGTTTCATTATAAAAGTGTCCACACTGACAAGGTTTGATTATAAAAGTGTCTGGTCTAACAAGGTTCCATTATAAAAGTGGTCCGACTAACAAGGGTTGATTATAAAAGTGTCCACACTAACAAGGTTCCATTATAAAAGTGTCCACACTAACAAGGTTTCATTATAAAAGTGTCCATACTAATAAGGTTTCATTATAAAAGTGTCCACACTAATAAGGTTTCATTATAAAAGTGTCCACACTAACAAGGTTTCATTATAAAAGTGTCCCGACTAACAAGGTTTCATTATAAAAGTGTCCACACTACCAAGGTTTCATTATAAAAGTGTCCACACTAACAAGGTTTCATTATAAAAGTGTCCACACTAACAAGGTTCCATTATAAAAGTGTCCACACTGACAAGGTTTTATTATAAAAGTGTCCACGCTAACAAGGTTTCATTATAAAAGTGTCCACACTGACAAGGTTCCATTATAAAAGTGTCCACACTAACAAGGTTTGATTATAAAAGTGTCTGGTCTAACAAGGTTTCATTATAAAAGTGTCCACACTGACAAGGTTCCATTATAAAAGTGTCCACACTAACAAGGTTTGATTATAAAAGTGTCCCGACTAACAAGGTTTCATTAAAAAAGTGTCCACACTAACAAGGTTTCATTATAAAAGTGTCCACACTAACAAGGTTCCTTTATAAAAGTGTCCACACTAACAAGGTTTCATTATAAAAGTGTCCACACTAACAAGGTTCCATTATAAAAGTGTCCACACTAACAAGGTTCCATTGCACACACAAATCAGTCCAATTGTCCGAACAGAGATAATGTTGAAGTTTTTTGAATATTGTGTAATAACATAATGATATAGATGGTTGACGTAGAATGCTATAGAAAGACACAATTTATCCCAATTTTCCAGCAAAACGCGATATTTTTATACATTCCCCAGAAATGATAATTAGTTACTTTCTCGGAGAGTAAATCTGTCGACATCCACAGCTTTCCACCTTTCTTGTATCATTCTACCATTGATGTTTTAGTATACCACGGTTTGATCTTAACCCTTCAAACGTCTACTATCACTCTTCACACATCAGACTAGGCCGACACCCATCCCCGTGGGCTCAACTATACACACAATCGAAGGTGTCAGCACCTTCAAAGTACATTCAAAATTTAAACTAACAACGCTTTTTCGTGAAACATTATCGCGCAAAAATCAGAACCACTTACATGCCTACTGAATGATGAATTGATGCGGTCCCGTGTGCCTATGCATTTATCAGAAAAATCTGGATGACTTTTTTTTAATTTCATTTCATCCACTATGTCTTTGACCTTGATATCTACCACGAAACATCTTTAAATGAAAGGGACACCAGGTATATAAACAGGAACAGGTTTACGTACGCTTGTACAGGTAAATATTGATCAGGTAAGAACGGGGAATGCATAAACCTCACCTATTTTTCTAGCTTCCCTACTTCATGTTTGTGTTTAGGCCGTTTATACAAATATAGCACGCTCCAGCTACTCTTAAAGGCTGGACCGGTAGACAACCATACACATACAGGTATGTATGCTTCTGTATGTAGTCACTGTCGTGGTTTACAAGGGAGGATTAAGATACACCGCACAGGTAAGTGAACTCTCATTAAGCATTGGTGTGGAGAATCAGACGTTACAGATAACTATTTGTGTTTTTGAACGTATGTAGCTTAAACAATGGACACCAGTCATGAGTTTGTAAAACGAAAGTTCATCTGAAGTATTCAGTAAATCTGACCTACACCTTGTAACTTTAAAAACTCATACATTATATACAAGTACCTGTACAGGTAATGTATTGTGATATAGCTGTTATTTTACTTTTTTACATAAGGCAGATAGTTCTAGCGTTCTGTGTTGCATCTTCAATGAAGAAGATTTCCACTTTTGTTCAGCATGTTTTCTGTCTTGGAGTCACTGCCCATTTACTATAGAAAAGAGTTGTACGAATATTTATTATAAATTCCCTTTCCACACAATAAATGTGTCCGCCACGAGACTTCAATGGATGGGACCTCTTGATCATAAAGAAGAGCTTATACACTGCAGTACTGGTTACAGAATTTGTTGTATTAATACATTTATGGAATATTACTGGGAATAATTTCAAAATAATTGAACTCCATAAAATTTCGGAATAAAGAGGGAATAACATCGATTTAACACAACTATATAGTTGGGTTTTCCCCCGTCAGTATACAGAAGAAAAGTGATCAGACTCTCTACCTGAAAGTCCCTGCAGGTAGGGCGTAAGAATTGTACCAGCTGCCCCCATTGCATGATCGTAAGAGGCGACTAAATTTAGGATCTTATCTTTTCTCTTCTTTCTAAACAACTTTCTTCTTCCTAATGTCTCCGTTGGCAATGCCTCACTTTTGGCCTTCAGTTGAGCGTTCGGCCCTGTGAGGAAGGCTTTGGGTTCTGTCCCCTGGACGAGACATACCAGAGTCTGTAAAAATGGTAGTTTCTACTACTGCTTAACGCTCAATAATTTAGGAGTGGGACGACTGGTTCGCCCGTTGTCAGTATAATGTGACCGGGTGGGGTGTCCTGCTGGGTGTCTTCGGCAGTATGTTTCAGTGAGGTAGCACTATAAAGTCGGCATCAGTTCCGCGCTATCACAAGGAGACAAACACGAACATATCGCAGCCTCCCAAAACACATACGCATACACAACACGCATGCATCTCGCACACAAGGGGCCGTACTTAAATGACCATAGCTGTTAATAGGACGTTAAACAATACTAAACCAAACCAAACCAAACAAACCAAACTCTACCTTAGCAGGTAAAGTTCAATTTTCGATCCTGACGTGAACAGGAAAACATTCCTTTAAGTTACAATCTGTTCATAAAGTCTCTCTACACTCTCTTTATCTTATTCACCCTTACAGACACATTTGAACACTTCCAACTCAAAGGTTGGAATAGTTCATTTTGATATTTCAGGACAAATGAGTTAATGTTTCCTACCAATATGTTTTTAAAGTCACATATCTATTCCGACTGTTTCAGTTGTCACCTTTTGGCGGTTTTAAATCTAGACGGGTTTCACATTATAAAGCCGTATTCTCTACTCAACGGACGGCGGCCGTCTATTGCATAAATAGTTCTGAAATATTTGTACCAATTTTTCCTGCCGTTAATCTGAAACATTTGCAGGCAATCTCTTATTTTAAGGGACTAAACAAATGAGGGGCCACGTGATTAATGTGTCCCCCCAAGTTATGGTAACCAACCCTCAACCACTGCGTCGCGGTTTGAGGCTCACGTGGGACAATCCTTAATGTCCGCAGGTCGATGGTGTTTATTTCGGTATTCCGGTTTTCCTCCCGCACCAAAAACTACGCCCTCTTTTAATGACCATAGCAGAACATACGCTAACTGATAATGTTCCTTCAAAATTGTTTGCACTTGATTATTCATAGTTATTTAAAAAGGTTAAATTCTTTTTAACATTGATCATTTTTGTAATGAGCCTATCCTTGTCATGCATGTTTCAGTATTTTGGTCAACGTTTATGGGAGTTTGGGGAAATCGCAGGCAGTGGTTGCGAGGCGTTGATCCGTTGATTTTGCAAACATTACGCTACACCAAAAGTTTGTTTCCCTCCGTTTTTTTATTCACCGGAAACTACAATAACGCAACTAATAAGTTTTACAAACAAAGTCGGTCTCTGGTCTACGAGTTCCGGATTAAAAACAAAGACGGATTCCGTACCAGTATTTTCCGGAATTACGTTGTAATAAGTTAGAGCTATCTGTCCAGTATACAAGGGTGCATCGTTAAGCAGTAAGATTATGCTATAATACCCTTCAGTAAAAAGTCACAAACGTGTATCTAGATCTTTGTGTCCCTATTTTAAGGATCCTTGTAGCACTGTCAAACTATAACTAAATGTTGGAGACTGTTTTTTACGGCAGTCTAGTTTTTTGATAATAAGATTCCTTTCTGAAAACAAAACATTACGTTGCGGGACGTTTATGAGAAATAATAAAGATTAAATAATCAAAATATAATCAACAACAGTGTTTTTAATACAGCGGTGCTAGACTGGGATTCGAACCCTGGACTTCATAACTGAGATAGCTGGTCAAAGGAAGTGTATCGAAGCGGAAGTTAACGGGAGGTTACCGTTTAAATGTACGGGGGGG